ATTGCAAACATAAGACCGGATCAATCGTGGGCGGCTCAATACAAAAAAATTGGTATAAGTTGATCAATGATCGGGATCTTGAAGTATTGACTTTTCTCCATTATTCACAAATTAAAAACCGTATCATCTTTACTATACATAGATCAGTATGTTCCAGGAATATATGCAGTGGGTGTAACTGGACGTATTCCTGAGTGGGTGGAGGATGAAATGGCTCGTCGTGATATTCCCTATATTCCAAGAGACGGGAGTTCTCTAACACATCAAAATTAATTTCGGTTGTGAAAAATCACAATTATCTTCGAAGTTAGCCGTTTTTATTGTGTTGAGAGGTGAGAGTCTCAAACCATGTGTTCTCAAACTCGATCGAGAGATTCGGGAATTCGGAAATTTCATTGTAATAGGGTTTGGAGGATGAAAAGTATTTATTCATTTTCTTCACAGTATAATCGCTATTCTAAATTTTTATCTTTTAAGTACGATCTTCTATGATAGACATTATCCAACAGCAAAATAAATAAAACCCTGATTTCATTCTACAACAAGGTTGATCTTACGATGTAGACCCTACATTGCAAATTGAAGATTTTTTTCGTCAGGCTATTGGAATTTAAATTAAGTTTCTTAAAGACGCGTCATTAATTATTATTCATCTCAAGCTGCTACTGGCACCACGGGCGTTTCCCCTGGCATTGGAACATTCGGATGTGGTATATCCACAACCACCTGGCCCTCGGTCACGATTCCATCGCCCGGTATCCCTTTTCCTGTTATACCAATCACATTTCCCAAAAAGTCAACATTCCTAATCTTATTTCCTCCTTTGATCATCACTGCCGTCATCTTCGTTAGGATGTCAAATTGGTCTTCGTCAATGTCCACGGCATTGGGATCAAATCCTCTGTCGAAATCACATTCCATCAATGGTACAACCTTGGTCCTCTTGAAGATCTTAAAGGTAAAGAACAGAGTTAAGAATAGGGGAGCTCCGCTGTAGGAGGCTATGACGACGGAGGGATCTTCGTGCGCGAAATCAGCACTGTAGAAAGCGTGGAAAGTTTGACCGATTATTAGAAGGGAGAAGACGCAACAAGCGAAGATTGGTCCAAACGGAAAGTACATTGCTTGATATGGGAGGTCTGACAATGTGCGACCCTGTGAAAATAAGTAAATAAGTAAATGACTGCTGTTTACCTTTAAATTGTGAAATGTAGATTAATCAAGGTTTCTTTGTTCCTTAATAAGGTAATATAGATTACCTGGGCAACAAAGGCCTTTCGAAATCGCCAATGTGTATAACTGATTCCCGCCCATTGAATGAAAATTGAGACCCCGGAAATATTAAGCAATATGGTATAAAATTTTCCTTCGCCAATTAATGACATCCAAAATGCCAAACTACCCACTGAGGCAGTGGCGAACACAGCGTAAAACGGCACCCCCTTTTCACTGACCTGTCCGAAAATTTTTGGGGCGCATCCTTCACAGGCCATATTGTAAAGTGCGCGAGACGCAGCATAGACGCCGGAATTTCCAGCCGACAAAACTAAAATCAACTGAAATTAGATTAATCTATTGGTGATTCTTTAAAAAATTGATGCGTTCGTTTCTGGAAAGAAAAGAATCACATTTGATTCATGAATAAATATCAACGCACCAGTGGTCAAGATAACAAAGTTGATAATATGCATCGATGCTCCGAGACCTGTCTCCTTGAATACGATGGTGAACGGACTTATGGCCAACGCGTCAGCCCCACTGTCAATTAGATTTGGATGGTTATATGGAATCAATAGGCCCACCACCATGATTGTGAACAAATAAAATAATAACGTTCGCCAATAAACTTGACCTATGGCGTAAGGCACATTTCTCTGTGGATTCTTGGATTCCCCCGCGGCAATGCCCACGAGTTCAGCCCCCTGAAAGGAAAATCCTGCGGTTAAGATCACTGCGAGGAGTCCATAGAAATCCGTGATTCCGTGAGCATAGTTTGAGAACCATATCGCCTCGCCGGGATTCCCCACCACCCCCGCATCCAGTAAGAGGCCCACGATGATAAATGCTGCTACGGTCACCACCTTTGAAAAAGTGAATTGATAGTTGGAAATGTGTGAAGGAAGAACTGTTTTTAATATTTGCTGTTACCTTTATGAGCGCAAA